GGCCGAATACGTCAAGCGTGTGACGGAAATGTTACGCCCCTTGCCATATTATGATGCCCTGTCCGGCCAGAGTGACGAGACAAAAACATTAAAACCCATTATAAACGAGACATTTGTTGCATGCATCCAGTGGAAACATAATTACGGATTATAATGACTTATACTGTCTTTTTACGCATTGCATTGCGCCGCGTAAACATAAAACCACGTCTGCATTTGTGAGGTGAGCTTGCGGCAACCACATGTGACGACCCCGGGCTGGACTTATATATGTGGCTTCGTCCACGGTGAAAGCCGATCCGGCGATCGACAGCGCGAAGTTGATGTATTCCCTCAGCGACCAGCACAGATCAGCTCCAGGCATGACGAAGCGGATATCGTCCTCTTTCGGAAGGCCAAACAAAGTAGTTTCGCTTTCACAACGAAACACACAGCGTCTTCACGACATGGCGCCGCCGCTACTGAGAGCGGCTCCCTAATGTGCCAAAATTATATGCAATATTAGAATGTTTAAAGGAGTGGACACGAAAATCGCGGGAGCAAAACACGTGTTGCGGGAGCAGGCGGCGATGGTCAGATATTCAGCGGGAGGGGGATTAAGAAAACAGCCGAATCCCGGACATTTTGGCCAATTAAGAAATCCCGGCCGGACGCATTTTTTTAGGTCCAAAAAGAGGACATGTCCGGGGAAAAGAGGACGTATGGTCACCCTAGCCTAAGGGTCCTTGCACAGTCCGAAATTTTTGTACATGTTTTTTCGTATTCGTCATCCTTTCCTATCAAAATGCTTGCTACGGATACGAAAACGCAGAAAAACGAATCTGATCCAATTTTTTTTTTATGACTGAAAAGGCAGTGTGTAAACGTGATTGACACAACATGCGGTCGTATTTATATTTTAATGTGCGAAAATTTAGGACGAGAATTTCGGACTCGGTGTGCAAAAAAAATGTTCATGACCCAAACATGTATTTTATCAAACATACATTAAAAACAGTAATATTTTTAAATATTATTACAATTTTAAAATAACTGCTCAAGAAACAGTTTTTTTTAATTAACAATGTTGAAGAGCAGTTTAATTTTTGATGCTTTTTTAATGTCTTTATGGTTTCTTTGATCAATTTAATGCATCTTTTCTAAATAAATATATTAATTTCTTTTAAAAAACCTTACTGAGCCCAACCTTTTGAACATGTGTGTTCATGCAATCCTGTTGTTCATGTAGATTAAAGCAGAACTTTTAATTTAAACAATTAGTGATATTGTGCAAATGTGCATTTTTATATGCTAAATTATTGTAATCCAACATGAATTATATGTAATATAGATTATTTGAGCATAGATGAAGTGTTATTATAGGGAAAGCTGTATTTCCAGTGAAGTCTTAAATAAATAAATCACCATTGGTATGCTTGTACCAGCCGACCTGTGTTGTTATTGTGTTGAGTTTGGAGACTCAAACACAGTCTCAGACCATCCCTGATGAACAGCGTCCCCAGGAGCAGTGTGGAGGAGACGGTGTGCGCGTCAGCCTGGCTGCAAACAATAACCACCCAAAAAAGGACGCCAGGCTGTTTTCCCATCTGAGCTCACTATATCCTGCTTTGCCCAGATAATCAAGAGCACACCTCCTCAAAAGCTAAACGTTTCGTAGAAAAAAGGATGAGTGGCTAGTCATACTTTCTCTCCCACTCTCCTGCTCTTTGTGGTGGTGTTTAGATGTTGAGAATGAAGGAAATTCCATTGGATTAATAATCCAGAAAACGTTTGGCCTCGGTTGGCAGCGGCGATAAAGAGTGATACTAACAGACAGATGCTAGCATGATGACGCGTCCGTCGCTGTTAACCCTGGAGTAGACGCTAAACAGGAAGATGAAAAAACAAGAGTCCACGTGTTTACATTCCGCATGCGGACTCGAGCGGAGACATGAACCGCTCGAACCCGGTGATTCAGACTGGAGCGCACACGGAGAGAGTTAGTGTGGGAAAGGTCAACCACAAATTTGAGTGTGCTGAAATACTACTCTCTTGTGCTTCACTGGGCGGGATGTTTGGAGCAGCTCTGCTAGTATTCCCAATAGACACATTGCAACACACACAACTGTTTTTCATTGTCATTATCAAGGATGTTTGTTAAAACATGACCTCCTTTTCTGTTTTAGATGAGGTCGTGTCACAAGAGGGAAAAGCCGGATCGGCCGAGAAGATTAAGAAGCGTGTGAAGACACCTTATTCTTTGAAAAGGTGGCGTCCTTCTACATGGGTCGTCTCTTCAGAAACGCTGGACGGAGAGGTGAATAACAACGGGCACAGCCAGCAGACGGGGACGGCAGCGACTGGAGGTGCTCTCCCAAGTTCTGGCCAATCAAAATCCAGCATCGCTGTGTTCCTGGTCAGCGGTGGAACTGCGACCGCCACTCTAAACTCCGACCCACCAGATATGACCTGCCTGTGAACTCGCATCTCCGCTTTTCCTCTGAGGATGAGCCCAGATCAGACTTTGAACACAGCTATGCTATCGTGCTCCAAGAACTGATCCAGCTGATGACCGAAAAGAAATATACGAAAAACGTTTTTGGAAAGCAGACTCTTGTAGGGACGTAATTTGGCAAGCACTTAACTTTGTCGAACTTATCCAACTTGTTTTGAAGAAATCGCTTTAAACCGAACCCAGCTATGCAGCAACATTGGCATAAAATGCTTCCATTTGTTTTTGTTGTTTCATTTTCAATTGTTTTTATGGTTGTTCTTTCATTTGTTGCACTTTTTTTGTAAGCAATCTTAATCACAAATCCTCCGACCATGTTCAAGACTGGTCTTAAAACTGAAAAACGTAAATGACAATGTGTTGATTTAACAATCATAGTAAATTAGGCGAAATTCAAATCATGTCCATCTAAAGAAAAAAAAAGGCAGTGGTCTTTTAGACAGGGTTGACTGCAACTCTAATACTGTTTAACCTACAGTACATTCATATGTTTTATATTTGTTGTACGTATCTGTGTACTGAGTTTTTTTTGTATAATATTTTGAAATGTGCAATAGACTTTAGCTTTGAGGTGCTCCATAAGACAATGTCATTTTGCTATGTGTTTAATGCCGCTTTTGTTTGTTTCTTGTCTTTAGTTTAATATCTTGAAGCGCTGCACTTAGCAGTGGCAATCCTGTGTCCATTCGGCCACCCCAACTGCAAACATCGAAACGTCGTATAAATGACAATCCCACACCTTTTCACCAATCCCATCACTCTTGAAAAGGGAAGTAAAAAAGTTAAATCTTGGAGTGTTTGCTTTAATTACTGGACGACTTCTCACAAGCTTCAACGAGGACAGTAGTTTTTTTTTTCTGTTACACTACAAGACAGGCATCAATCTGGACTGTTTGCTGGAAATCATGCTTTCTGAAGACACTGAATAATCAAGTCTCTCTCTGCACATGCTCAGTGCAGTTTTACCTCTGTGAGATTGTATGTAAATATGTATGTATGGGTCTACTTCTGCTTTACTGAGCTCCTCAAATCACCGCTGACAAGGCATCAGTCAAACAATACTTTCCACTTCCCATCTCTGCCAGGAAAGTGAATGTTGCTCCATGTGCTTTAGAAAGCAAAAACACACACATATACGTACATACGCCATGAACAAAATATATACAGTATGTACAGACTGAAGCTCACAGCTACTTTAGTTCTGTTTTAGCCTCTGTTAAAATAAGCTGACATGATAGTGTACAACAAGATATCATGATTTTATGCATTTTAGCTGTTTCTGAAGTTATTTTTCTCTAAATGTTTAATTTATGTAGTACCCAGGGCCATCTTCATTCTTAGGGTTTATTATTTTCATTAAATCGAATCAGTAAGTTGTTTATAATCATGTAAATTTATCTTATTTTAATGATACTTTCAATCAAATACATCAGAAATGCATGTAGTTTTACCCTTCGTTTTCGTACTATCGAAGAGGGATTTACTTTTTTTTTTTTTTTGGTGCCACTAGAAATATAGTCATGTTTAAGTGTCGCATCCTCATTTTGAAATCATCTACACTTTGAGAGCAGTTGATGTTTTTACCAGCCATAACATGGGCCTAGTTTTTTCTTCTACAACTGCTGCCTTTTGTGGAAAACTATGGACACGAGCCATTCAAATAATTACATAGTGATGAGGAAAATTCCCTCATGTAGCAAGGCCCTGCTTTGCTTGAAATACCAGGAAAAAACGAAGATGGCACATGTTTGATCAGAGAGACCCTTATTGTGTTTGTATGCGTTTTCCATAATGAGTGTGGGGATTAACCATGATTTGGCACAAGCCAGCATTATCTTTGGACTTTGTCCATTCCAGAGCGGGGAGCTTTAAAAAAGTCATCTGATTTTTCCCTTCCACTGGCTTTTTCTGTCGGAAAACAAGACGATACAGTGCAGTTTAGTTTCTCACGCCCTCTTTTCTGAACCAATCAGCGCTTCAGTCTGACTTTTGTATATGTTTGTAATATAGGCTAACCTCCGTGGTGTAAATATATACGGTGCATTTGTATGCACATATACAGACTCTTCATCTGTTGCTTTGGGACCAAGAACAACGCTAAATCACTGTGAGATTTATCTGAAGTTAAACACAGTAACGTCAGACTTCTCAGCTAGATACGTCAGTGTGAATGCTGGAGAAGATTGTGAACTGAAATGAGGAATAATAGCCTAATAAAAGACAAAACAAACCTCCAGTGCTAATTTGACTGAAATGAACGAACGTTTATGATTTAGACCAAGGCGTTGAAGCTAAAACGTTGATGAAGCTGAGTCATTGGAAGTGTAGTTTGTTCAGGAGGACTGTCCATCTGCTACATGTTAATAATGCAAGATGTTTACACCAGAGCCTTTGTCCAGTTTTACAGCACACTGTTGAATACCGAATCATTTACAGATACTACATGCCTTGTTTATTCTTGAAGCAGACCTTGAGAAGTCAGACTTTTTTATAATTCAGTCAAGTTGCAGGAATGTTTTAACTAAACCAAGTTGTACTCTTGTGTTTAAAAGGAATCAGTTACTGAAACCTACATTGATTGGAACTCATTACACGCGCAAAACCAAACATGAAAATGACAAATGGCTAACAATGTGTCCTCTAAAACACAAACTTTGAGTATCAGCTGTATTTTGGGGTGCGTATGAGTGAATGAATGAAGGGTCTGTGTTGACAAGCTGCTGATTTTCTTTTTACTTTTGAGTTCATTTTGAAGCTGATGTCTTCATTTGGCCCCTGCATAGATGGATGTTCAAAAAAGCCACTGACATGTTTTCTATTACAGCTTGTAAAGTAAGCACTTTGAGAAAAAGAACAAATGATAACTCGTGCTTTTAGTCTGTTCGGAAAATGTTTTAAAATGCCATTTAGAAAATAAAGCTTGCTGTACAACCCTGCATTACTCAGTTGATTAAAGATTATATTAATGAAAACCTGTATATGAAGTTTACCTGTCATTTGTTTCCTCTTAACTGGTAAAATGTATAACTTCTGGGATCGTTTATAAACTACTTACACTGAAGTTTAATTTTATTAAGTGGCCACATGAGGGTGGTAAAGGCAACCACAATATCATGACCAAAAGCGTGTGTCCCCACACAACAGTTTCCATTCAAGTAACAGGTCAAATCATTTAGATAAAAGTTTAACTTTGATGTGGGCACGCATGTAGTGATCTTGTGTATTTAATCTGGTGTCTAAACACACACACACATACATAAATTACATGGCTTTAGTGAGCACATGTGACTTACTCATTTTAAAGAAAAAAAAAGGTTCAGAACAGTGAGTAAAAGCTTAGTGAAAGCTGAATGAAAACATGCAAACAAAGTAACAACTTATTTATCTTCACTATGAATCAGTTGTGGGAAAAGGGAATGATAATTTAACATCTATTTATCATACTTTTTACACACAAATGTAACTACTGACAGAAAATACATGAATAATAGACCTTGGTGTATTTTTAAACACTGATTGTATCAAATATAGTAGGTTTAACTATGGTCACACACATAAGATAAAGAAATCCTGTAAAAATTCTGTATAAATCATAATTATCGTCGTCTTTGCGAAACTTCCTTGTATAACTGCGTGCATTATAATCAAGTTTACTGAATCAAAGAATCCACTTCCTAGCCAATCAGAAGTTGAGAGGGGTGAGCGAACAGCCAATCAGAGTGGAAGAGGCAGAGCTCCGGGTCGAGTTGACGGTGCGTGGCTCTGATCTCTCTCAGTTTATTTGAGCTCTCGAAACGGCTCAGCTGCGCCGGTCAGAGAGAAGAAAATAGACTTTACGTGGAGTGACAAGGGCACCAAAGAGCATTAACCACTTCAGACAGCCTTAAACGTACGTTTAAAGTGTTTATGTCGAGTTTTGTGTCATTTCCCGGCGAACGAAATGTCTCAAAGAGTTCGCAAAAACGGATCTCCGACGTCTAACTGCAGCGGAGCGAGCGCTGGAAGCCCGAGCGGATCCCCGGGGATCAGCGCCGCTGGAGTGAGTTTACTTGGTCGCCTGCTGCCCATGAAAGCCACGGTTCCCTTCCAGCTGAAAACGCAGACACAGCACCCTCTACAGTCACGGACAGTCCTCTCCTCCACCGGTAACGGTAAATGCCACAGCAGCGGAACCCACAGCCGGAGCCCCACGCGATCCCTCTCCTCCTGTGCCTCAAACGTTTCTGCAGCCGCGTCCACTTCCTCTGCGACGTGCTCACAGTTCATCGCTGTTTCCTCTGCCCCCTCCTCATCATCTTCTTCTTCTTCTTCATCATCTTCATCCTCATCCAGAACTAGTCCCATTATCGCTGTGCACGCGTCAAACCCCAGAGCGTCCCACGCGCAGGTACCTGTACCATCCTCGTCATCATCACCCTACACAGCTGCGCACCTGAGCCCCCAGTGCTGCAGCTCAGACACTTCAGCCCTTACCTCTAATTTATCTGCCTCTCCGTCTTCATCCTTGTCGCTGTGGTCGTGCGCCCACAGGGCCAAACCCCTCCAGACCCCCGAACATGACAGACTGTCTCCGGAGAGGCTCAGTCCCAGCTCACCTGTCTGCACAGGTAAATCTACAGTCTAAAGCAGTTGATTTTATATGAGGCCTGATGTTTATTTGAAATCACTGTGGTAACTTGTAAACACACATAGTCCATGACTCCATGTGGTTTGTGGGGGTTACACCCGCTTTAGGAAACTTTCTAAAAGTTTCATAGTTCACCCATTGACAGGGTTATTAGCCAAATAATGTCACTGTCATACTGTCATTTAAGATGCAACAGAAGCTCACGAGGCTCACTGCATTACAACTAATTGCATTAAAACATGTCTTATGTCAAATGATTTAGAACAATAATTATGAAATGTAACTATGACAAACCTGCTCATTTTCAAACACAAACTGGGAGATTAATAAACCAAAATTAATTTTCTGAAAACAAATGTTTTTGAACAATTTAATTCAATTACACTGTTTTTATACAGAAAAAATGTAGACAATCATTGTAATTCATCCTTCATAATTCATTTTATTTTTATATATTAAAATTATTTTTATTAAATTAATGAAAATGTAATAATTTAATTTAATCAGTATGTCTAATGTCTTACATAATCTCATTAATATTCATAAATATTTAATACAATAACAATTAAATAAATATACAAATTAATTGAATTAATCCTTTATAATTCAATCTGTATGTATTAAAATAAACGTTATTTTAATACGTAAAAATTGAATACATTTACAAAATTAAATACAAATACAAAATAATTTTATTCATCCTGTAGCAGCCTTTGAAGTTTTCCAAGGCCCCCTAGTTGGCCCCTGTTTGAGAACCCCTTCATATTTTTATTTTATTTATCCCTTATTTTACCACAGGATAGTCCCATTGAGATGCAAAATCTCTTCTTCCAGGGAGTCCTGGCCAATATAGATATAGAATACACATATTGGTTGCTGGGAGCACATGATAAATGGTGAACGTAATACTTTATATTAACATTAAGAGGCCATTAACAAACATTATGGTTTCTTTTATTGTCTCCAATGACATGTATAGCCCAGTCAACTAAATATGTTTCTTATGAGCTAAAGGTTAATTTGTTGACAAATATAAATGGTGTCAATGACACACCATTAAATGGATGAGTTAGAGCGGATAATGAAGGCAAAGCAGCCAGTACGTGTCCAGCATAGATAGAAACTTCACAAAGCATCCCAGGATGCAACTCATGAAGCTGGTAGAATGCAGGTAAATGGTGGCTTCATTGAATAAGTTGAATACAAAAGAGTTTTGGTTTTATTTAATTCCCATGTATTTGATGACTATATTATTCAAAACTGTGGAAGAAGTAATTATGGATGGGTGTCTTCAAATGCTTGACTGTATACTTGAAGCTTCATGATGAATCAGGCTTGTTGAACTCTCACTAATGTTCTGTATAACTAACTAGTGATATGTTAAGCATTATATCAGGTAACAGGAATCTTTGGTGTTTATTGCAGAGTATTTCAAATGTCTCATTCATAAAATAGCTTGTGGGGAGCCGTGCTGAGAGAGGGCCGGTCTGGTCGCTGTGGTTTGAGGTGGCCGCTTCAGAGGCTTTTCTCTGTTGCTGACTGGTAAGAATGCAAATGTTTGGTGGCCAGTCACTGGTTTGGCCCTTTGACTTTCAAAGGTTTATTTTGTGATCATTTTCCAGCAAGTGTTGCACTGCGTTTCGGTTACTGTAACTGTTTGAACTGGCATAATGACCGGTACCACATATTTTCAGAAAAAAATGCAATTTCCGCACAAAGGAGGTTTAAGGGAACACATTTAAACATATTTTCCGCTTTTACTTGCATAGATTCAGTCTGTCGGTCCCAGAATCTGCTGCGTTTTTAGGGTGCGCTCACAAATCGTGTCTGATGCACAAGGATTTTTTGACAACCAGCTCTATATATTGTAAAGTAATTGATGGTTGAAATGTAAGCAGCCACTGATCATGAGGTTATCTGCCCCAAAAAAGACATAAAGAGGGAAAGGTAGTGGTTGTTGGGTTGGGAGTGTCATTCTTTGTGTCTTGGCCAAGACCCAGTCCTCATTGTTTTAGTAAATTACCCATGATTCTCTTGGAGCCTTCTCAAACAGACTCTGTGTATGTCTTAGTTATGTTTCTGTGCTAGTCCAATACTGACATGATCTGTCTGAACAAGAGGAAAATTGATCTTGCGTCCACATTTCACTTTGGGTCAGAGACTCATATGCCTGTTGGAATGCCCTTGTGATTACTGTTTTTAGTCTCCTGAGCCATGCCTCCCCTTTTCACTGTATCCTACTGAAAACACTCCGCTCTGGTATGTCCAGTAATTTTCCAGATCACCAGACTTGCCTAAGATCCCATGAAAGCCGGAGCACACTAAAGGGACAGAAAAGAGATGGAGGCAATTGGGGAAAAAAATAATTGGAGATATCTTGTCTAGCCATGTGCACTGCAAAACTATATATTTTCACATCTCACTACTAGTAACTAGTCAAGTTTGATATAACAACTCAAATTAATCTGACTTTGATATGCTGCGGGGTTGACCTGACCCTGATCAGATGCATTTTAGGGAATTTTCACTTCGGACAAGGGACATTAAAATTCTGGCTGATACCAGTAAAACAATAATGATTTTCATGTAATGGCCAAGATAAATGGCTGATATTAAAATTCTATATAATTTTGTCTAAATTAGGGGTGTACGATATGACTATTTTTGATCGTGGACGATAAAAATGTCTCCACGATCTGCTTTTGAAGAAATATCGTAGTATCGTGCTACAGCACACATTCTATCAGCTGCAGTTCTGGCGCCTCCGTCTCAAGATACTGTACAACGCGACATACATTCACATTAGCGTTAACTCAGCAGTAGAGTTACTCTCATAGTCACGGGACACTGCACTTATGTGCAGTCACAAAAGTACATTATTTGTATATTTGCTTTAAAGCCTTGCCAGTTAAACGTTTCAATCACGTGCTGTTCTGACGTGTGCTTTTTCTGAGCGCATAAAAAGCCTGTCAAACAGCGCCTGATTACTGAACTAAGTTATCTTTTGCGCTAATACTGTCAAAACACACAAGGTTTACATGGGCTCAGTTGGTTATGTCTAAAATGAAAGTACACAGTTGAGAGAAAAACTGATGCGTGCCTGTATATTAGATGCGTGCAGCTCTTAAAGGGACAGTACTAAACATGCTGCTAGTTCACCCTAAAATTTAATTTCTGTCATTATTTACTCACTCACATGCTGTCCCAAACCTGTATTAATTTCTTTCTTGTGCTGAACACAAAAGAAGATATTTTGAAGAATATGGGTAAACATGGTCCACATTGAATTTGATAGTAGGAAAATATACTATGGAAGTCACTGGGGACCAGCAACTGTTTGGTTTTCCACATTCTTCAAAATAACTTTTATGTTCAGCAGAAGAAAGAAACTCATTCAGGTTTAAAACAACTTTTGAGTGGAGAAAAATCACTCAATACTCTTGACTGAAAAACTTTAGTTGCTTTAAGAGGAATCAAGCTATATAGTGTTTTATTTTAATATTTGTTCATTCAATTTCTTGAATGCTCCTGCTAAAAACACCTATTGTACCTAAAAATAAAACACAGTTTGTTTTATTTGTATATTATGTGTATTTGTAATGTGTTTATTTGTTCTTATTGTTTAATAACAGAGATAAAATAATGACAAAGATTTTTGTCTTCGACCACTTTGGCCTAAATATCCGCCATTCTTTTTTATATTTTGTTATACCTTGAAAGGCTTTGTCTTTATAATAGGGAAATTAGTTTGGCTGTAATGCTCAGACAAAATAGTATAACCAACATGACAAAGAATCGTGATATTTAAAAAAAAAAAAAAAAAAAAAATCGTGATATGATATTTTTGCCATATCGCCCACCCCTAATCTAAATAAATAAAAAATAAAACAAAAATCAGTTGTTTAGATGTTGTACGTTATTTTTGCCATTACAACATTATAATGTACTGTATGAAAAACCAATATTCATTAAATTTGCTAAATATTACATTTAACAGTTATTCTTATATAATGTTTAAATGCAAATTCTGTCATCATTTACTCACCCTCATGTTCTACCATTCTACCAAAACTTGGATGTTCCAAAAAGTTTATAAAAACATTGTGAAAGACCTTGACAAACTGCACATGACTCTTAAGAAGGCTTGGATTACACTGCTTTACAATTTTGCTTTACAAATTTTGCAATTTTGAATTTTTTTCAAGTGTCAAATTTTTTTGGACTTTCCATGGAGAGATAGAAATCTCTGAGGTGTACTAAAGGGATAGTTCACCCAAAAATGAAAATTCTGTAATTAATTTCTCACCCTCATGTCATTCCAAACCCGTAAGAACTTCGTTCTTCTTCTGAACACAAATTAAGATATTTTTTATGAAATCCGAGAGCTTTCTGATCCTGCATATTGACAGCAACAAAACTACCACATTCAAGGCCCAGAAAGGTAGTAAGGACATTGTTAAAGTAGTCCATGTGACATCAGTGGGTTAACCATAATTTTATGAAGCTACAAGAATACTTTTTGTGTGCAAAGAAAACAAAAAGGGTGGGTAATTAATGACACAATTTTCATTTTTGGGTGAACTATCCCTTCAAAATATATTAATCTGTGTTTTGAAGAAGAATGAAAGTCTCATGGGTTTGGAACGACATGAGGGTGCGTAAATTATGACAATTTTCATTTTTGCATGGACTAATCCTTTAATGATAGTACAATGATGGAAATAATAAATTACAAAAATAAATTGCAAAACAATTTAAATTAAATGGGTAAAAAAATGCACATTTAAAGGTAGTGTGGAATTACAACATCTCATGGTTATTAAGAAGAATTATGACACAAACGTAATGCTCATGGATGGTGCAGGATGTTTCAAAAATGAGTCATGAAGCAATAGCCAAAGACATCCGTCTGCATGTGTATGACAGTGTTAGAGGAACTTCTCAGAGAGAGGTTTGTCTTGCAACTATTGTTGACTTCAGTGACAAACTAGTCAGTGTCCTTTTAACAGTATCCAGGTGTTTTTCTTTGAATGTATTCCTCAACGTTTCAGCTCATTGTTCTCAGGATTAAACAACACCATTGCTCATAGCAGTGCAGCGTTGCAACAAAGTTGACATATGCTGGTGTGTGTCTCAAAAGCTTTGCTCATGCTTTTGAAGATCTCCATGAGGACGTTGTTCTTTTGCTCTTGGCTGGGGGTTTAACAGGGCACACCCCCAGTCTTTTCAGAGAGGGGGTGGTATAGGCAGGCCGGGACGAGACCAGGCTGATCTCTCTGTCCTCACAAAGAACACTATTAGGAGTCAGGTCACTATTACACCCTTTTACTTTAGCTGCAGGCCTCTCCTTTTGCTTGGGTTTGTCCACTTAGAGCTACAGTGAGTATATCATAATCCTGCGGGTTGAGACGTTTCTGAGAAGATGGTTATCTGTATCTGTGTTGACTGAACTGTAGGCGTATTCATGGTATTGTTGATGAACTGCTGTGACGTTATTATTGTTTTGGTCTAGTCAAATTCACTCGTTTTAGGAGACAAAAGTCAAGAGCACAGACTTCCCAAGGACGCGGCTCATGGGCCACTGTGTGCATTATCAGCATGTGTGCCAGATCTGCTGAGTGAGATGCAGGATAGACACAACACAAGAACCTACTGTGCATAGACAGGGATGATAAGAGAATTCATTGCTCAGTAGTGCATCATAGCATCTCTCATATGAGCCTATCAGAGATGAGATAATATCCCTGTGTGAGAGTCTGTCCTCTGTGTGCCATGCTTGTTTATGTGCATGCATCTATGTGTATGCAATTATGTAGTGTGTGTGTATATATATATATATATATATATATATATA